TTTTATTTAAACTCACCTGTCAGAGTGCTGTATTTCTCACATAGCAAGTGCTCAAAATGTACGTTTTAAAGCAGGAGTTGGGTCAGTATTAACAATAGGCTATGTTTTAGATGATTATTAATAGATGTTGTAATGTACAGGCTATTTTGTGTTTTAGATATCATTTACAATTTTGACGTATTTTCTAGATTAATGAGCGAGTTGGTTTGTTTTCATTTTGTTTTACGACTAATATTATGGCATTATTTTATTGCCATTTCGGTTGATTTGTTGTAAATACTCGGCCTGAAAACTGCGATAGATAATCTCTGAGGAGTCATGACGTCACGGAGGCTGTTGAACCCTCTCGCGGGCCCAAGAAAACACATTTCTGGTAATATTGTCTATTTTAATATGTTTTATTAAATAAATTCATCCGTCCGAGTGCTGTATTTGTAACATAGCAAGTGCTCAAAATTAATACTTTAAAGCAGTAGTTCAACCCAAAATTAAAATTCTGTCATTAGCATTTTGTTGCGATTTAGCCTGATTTGTTGTAAATATAACTGCGATCGCTAATCGCGTTGGAGTCATGACGTCACAGTCTGTTTAATTTTTAAAATAAAAAAATTAAAAATTTGCCTGGTATGTTGTGTATATACAGTGGGGCAAAAAAGTATTTAGTCAGCCACCAATTGTGCAAGTTCTCCCATTTAAAAGGATGAGAGAGGCCTGTATTTTCATCATAGGTATACCTCAACTATGAGAGACAAAATGAGAAAAAAAGTCTAGAAAATCACATTGTAGGATTTTTAAAGAATTAATTGGTAAATTCCTTGGTAAAATAAGTATTTGGTCACCTACAATCAAGCAAGATTTCTGGCTCTCACAGACTTGTAACTTCTTCTTTAAGAGGCTCCTCTGTCCTCCACTCTTTACCTGTATTAATGGCATCTGTTTGAACTCGTTATCAGTATAAAAGACATCTGTCCACAACCTCAAACAGTCACACTCCAAACTCCACCATGGCCAAGACTAAAGAGCTGTCAAAGGACACCAGAAACAAAATTGTAGACCTGCACCAGGCTGGGAAGACTGAATCTGCAATAGGTAAGCAGCTTGGTGTGAAGAAATCAACTGTGGGAGCAATTATTAGAAAATGGAAGACATACAAGACTATTTATAATCTCCCTCGATCTGGGGCTCCATGCAAGATCTCACCCCGTGGGGTCAAAATTATCACAAGAACTGTGAGCAAAAATCCCAGAACCACACGGGGGGACCTAGTGAATGACCTGCAGAGAGCTGGGACCAAAGTAACAAAGGCTACCATCAGTAACACACTGTGCCGCCAGGGACTCAAATCCTGCAGTGCCAGATGTGTCCCCCTGCTTAAGCCAGTACATGTCCAGGTCCGTCTGAAGTTTTCTAGAGAGCATTTGGATGATCCAGAAGAGGATTGTGAGAATGTCATATGGTCAGATGAAACCAAAATATAACTTTTTGGTAAAAACTCAACTTGAGGAGAAAGAATGCTGAGTTGCATCCAAAGAATACCATACCTACTGTGAAGCATGGGGGTGGAAACATCATGCTTTGGGGCTGTTTTTCTGCAAAGGGACCAGGACGACTGATCCGTGTAAACGAAAGAATGAATGGGGCCATGTATCGTGAGATTTTGAGTGAAAACCTCCTTCCATCAGCAAGGGCATTGAAGATGAAATGTGGCTGGGTCTTTCAGCATGACAATGATCCCAAACACACCGCCCGGGCAATGAAGGAGTGGCTTCGTAAGAAGCATTTCAAGGTCCTGGAGTGGCCTAGCCAGTCTCCAGATCTCAACCCCATAGAACATCTTTGGAGGGAGTTGAAAATCCGTGTTGCCCAGCGACAGCCCCAAAACATTACTGCTCTAGAGGAGATCTGCATGGAGGAATGGGCCAAAATACCAGCAACAGTGTGTGAAGACTTACAGAAAACGTTTGACCTCTGTCATTGCCAACAAAGGGTATATAACAAAGTATTGAGATGAAATTTTGTTATTGACCAAATACTTATTTTCCACCATAATTTGCAAATAAATTCTTTAAAAATCCTACAATGTGATTTTCTGGATTTTTTTTTCTCATTTTGTCTCTCATAGTTGAGGTATACCTATGATGAAAATTACAGGCCTCTCTCATCTTTTTAAGTGGGAGAACTTGCACAATTGGTGGCTGACTAAATACTTTTTTTCCCCACTGTATGTGCTTACATCATATTAAATAAATACCATCTGATTTGATATGTTATTTAATACAATGGCGTTCGTACATTTTAGTGCCGTCTACATGGTCAAACACTTTTTGTGGCCAGGATATATTTAATAAGCTGTTATTATTCAGTACATAATAAATTGGTGAGGAATGAGGTGAGAATCAAGAGCCATACAGCTCTTCACAATGCCAGCTTTTTTTTTTTTGCACTGACTAGCTGATTTCTACATGTCAGATGTCATTAAATTTCAACTTGATTGTAAGGTCTAGGTCTTTTTTTTTTGCTAGGTACTGTAATTCATAGCTGTTAACCTTCATCTTAGGAAAATAGTTTTTTTTCTTTTTATGAAGGTTTTTTTCCCTTCTCTGTGAGCTCTGTCAGCCCATATAAAAGCACCTTTGATACCAAGGAAACAAGGACAGTCTGGTCCTGTCTCGTATTTTTCAAGTGATTCAATGCAAAGACCTTGGGATAGAGTGATGGTTGTCTTCTAGATGCGGGGTTTGTTCGTTAAGCAGATAAGCACTTGAAGGATGTTTAGGTTGGCATGTCCTGATTAGGGAGGACAGAAAAACCATGCTTAAAGGTTCTTTCTCTTGTGTGTGTATATAAATGGTTCGTCTGTAATTATTCATTCGGCCTCACCTTGCAGATGGAGCCCCTAACCCTACTGTCCCACCGTCCTCTGTGTGTAAACGGCATGTCATGCTGATTAATAACAAGCAAGCAAGAATGTTCCCTTGTGTGCTTGCATAAGAGATTTTTCAATTAAGGGCATGTTTGACTCTAAAAAATCTTGAGAAATTAAGTTTTCCTTTTCATGTTATATCTTTATTACATGTTCTGATAATTGACTTTGTTCATGACTATGTTTTTGTATAGTATGGATTTTTGATATCGTGAATAATGGTAATGACATTTTTCACTTTTTGTGGAAAACTGGATAAACTCATAAGCTGCTTGAAGCTACTTGTCGATCATGATATACATTTTTTTTAAATTGTTACTGATCTTCAGACTGTCAACTGCTCACCCATCAGTCCACATTTCTGTAATATTCCAATATTTGTAAATAGTCTTTAAATAGTTTTCTAAAATGTTTAGTGTGATGGAATACTGGTTGCTACTAGCAATTATTTGAAATATAAATCTTTTGTAACATTTTAAATGTCTTGATTGTCACTTTTAATCAATTTAATGCATGCTTAATGTATTAATCCAAGTATTATGTCTTTAAAAAAAAAAAATCCTACTGACCCCAATTTTTTAAATTTCTTTCTTTCTTTCTTTCTTTCTTTCTTTCTGTAATCTTATATATACGTTCTTAGAAAATATACAAATGTAATTTTCCTTTGTACACATTTATTATGTACAGGAAGTTAAAATGTCTGGGACCTAAATGGAAAAAAATATTCAAAGTGAGACAATTAAAAAATATATATTAAAAACTAGAATGATTGTTAAAAATACTTTTTCATTATTTTTATTTTCATTTTTAGAATATCTAGAATATTTATTTCCTTTAAAATCCATCCTAGGGAACAGGAAATGCCTCTAATTGTAGAATCACCCATGTATGTGCCTGTTTTGAGTATTTGTGTTCCTGTTGCTATACCAACACCTCACAAATTCCTGTCTTTGTACAGAGAAATTTTGCAATTGTCACACTCCGCAGAGAGCCTCGAGGCTAAAAAGAGCATGAAAGACATTTTTGTATTCCGCGCTGTGTGTTGTCTTTCTCTCTCTGTGCTCGGTATTGAGAGAGTAATGCCAAAATTGTCATCCTTTGTGAACTCACTGAAGGGAGAGATACTCTGCGGAAAGAGACAAATAGACAAACAAGGGCTTTTGAAACGTAGGAACGGGAAAACTACACAGAAGTTTCTGAGGACGCTATAATACAGCAGATATGCTCCGCAGAGAAGCTGGATATTTATTTCCCTCTCAGTCTCTATTATTCTCTCTGAGCTTAGTGTGTATTGTGCCTGTTTCCTTTAGCAGTCATGCTCTAATATGCACTAAAGCTCTCCACAAATGTTTGTAGCCACACAAAGATATGAATTGTTTTTTTCCCCGAGAAAATATTTCATGTTCTTTACTTCAGTTCTCTATTTTATACTATATTTAATGACCGAACAGTCAGAGTGATGGAAATGAAAATTCTGTCATCATTTACTCACCCTCATGTCAGTCCAAGACTCCAAACCGGTATGACTTTCTTTTTTCAGACTTAACACAAAAGAAGCATTTTGAACAGCATTGTTTCCCGTACAACGAGGACATACAGTGGCTGTTCACTTCCACAAAGGACAAAAAAAAACCACCACAAAAAATATGATAAAAATGCTTCATATGACCCTTGTGCAATATTCTATGCCTTCTGAAGTCATATGATTGCTTTTTGCTTTAATTAGTTTGAGAATGTATGTTTGTATGTGATGGCACTGAATGGCTGATTCTTCCCTCTCGCTGTGTTGTCTTCTTCCTCAAGGCTCATACATGATGGTCAACTCCTCCCAGCATGCAGCGGGGCAGAGGGCACAGCTTCTACTGCAGACACTAAGTGAAAACGACACACACTGCGTGCAGTTCAGCTACTTCCTGTACAGCAGAGATGGCCACAGCCCGGGGGCGCTGCGGGTTTATGTGCGGGTCAATGGTGGGCCGCTTGGCATTCCTGTGTGGAACGTCTCTGGCTCCCGTGGACGACAGTGGCACCAGGTGGAACTGGCAGTCAGCACTTTCTGGCCAAATGAGTACCAGGTGAGCAACATTTTGAATTAGTGACCATATTTTTTGGGTGGTCATCAGTTGGTCTAAGACGCTCATTAGTTGTACCAAACTGGTCATTAGCTAGTCTAAACTGATCAATAGCTGGTCCAAGAGAGTTATTTATTAGTAGGTCCAAGTTAGTGTTAATTGGTCAGTTCTAAGATGTTGGTTTAAAATGTTCATTAGTTGGAATAAACTGGTCATTAGCTGGTCCAGGCTAATCTAAGCTATTTATCTGTTGATCTACGGTGGTCATTGGTTGGTTCAAGCTGCTTATTAGCTAGTCTAAACTGGTAATTAGAATGTCCAGGAGAGTCATTTGGTCTGAGATGCTCATCAGTTGGTCTAAGATGCTCATTATTTGGTACAAACTTGTCAAGTTGAGTCTGTGTCAAAGTTGGTCAACAGTTGGTCTAAGGTGTTCATTAGTTGATCGAAACTGGTCATTAGTCGGTACACACTGGTTACTGGCTAGTCTAAACTGGTCATTAGCTAGTCCAAGATTGTCATTAGCTGGTTCAAATTAACAAACCATCTTGAAACAGTGATAAACAAGCTACCAGATAGTCATACTAGTTTAAGGTGAAAGAAATATTTTTGGAACTTGGTGGCTGGCAGTGGTGGATAAAGTACACAAATCAAGTACTTGAGTAAAAGTACAGATCCGTAATAAAAATATTACTCCAGTAAAAGTACTCAGTTTTCAATTTTACTCGAGTGAAAGTACAAAAGTACTTGATTTTTTTAATGTACTTAAGTAAAAAGTACCGATAAATGAGTGTGTAGTTTGTATTGTGTATTTTGTTTTATATTGGCTACTTTTATCATTTAATTTTATATTAGCATATATTTTTTTATAATCCTACTGCTCAAACTACCTGGGATTTTCTCAAAATAACCAATAAGGAAATAATGAATATAATAAGGAAAATATAATTAGATTTTCATAATGATTTTTTTCTTCTCAAACCTTGTCTGTGGTGTAAAAACACCCCTGGCCAAATGCCCCAAGAGGGCATCAATTCCCACTTTGATAATTACTGTAGTTACCATGTTCTGAACATCACATTCTTTCTTTTTCCTCAGATGTAATCTATCTAGGTAGTTGAATAAAAAATATTTGGACTTTATATATATATTTTTAATTACCTCAATTTAGCACCAGCAAGCTCATTAGCTAGACAGTTAGCATTAGCTAACATTATTATTTTCAGCATGGTTATGAATAAACATTTATATTTGTCTACTCGGCTAGTTGATCCAGATACATAGTAACTTAGGCTATGTGTGCTGACAAACAATATAAAAACAGACATCACATAGGGCTAAATGCATAGCATTTTAGTAAAACTGCTAACGTTACAGCAGCGGGGAAGATGAACATGCATGAGTTATTTAATTTAATCTTTGTTATTTTAATGTTTTTTGACCTAAAACATAGAGACTCTGATGTTAATGTGTCTGCATTAAAGCATTTTAGTGGGCTACAGATCACCCTTTACAGCAGATTTAGTTCACAAACAACTGACAGCTTTGACCTAAATATGATTTTCACTTACAATAATTAATCCTAACATTCGACATTAGTAACTTACTTTTAACAGCATCAGACACGCGCGCGCTCAAAATATCTCCCGGTTCTTACTTGTGAATTCAGTTCACTGGAGACTCGCACTAAACGGTTCATTTGAATCAGTGAGGTGTTCATTGAAAATAATCAGTTTGTTCATGAATCAGACACTGCTTCTGCGTCTCAGAGCACGTGATATATTATAAGGAGTAGCGATAATTTTTATGAAATGTAGTGAAGTAAAAAGTACGATCTTATGCTTTGGAATGTAGTGAAGTAAAAGTAAAAAAAAGTAAAACTACTTCGTTACTGTCCACCACTGGTGGCTGGTCAACCAGCTATAAACCAGCAGATTTTCCAATGGTAAATGCTTCGGAAATGTATGAATTCCAGACTCTAAGCGAATTAATTAATCATGTTTGCCTTGAAGTATGCCACAAATTAGCAATGTGACTGACAACTGTTGTAATCTCAATGGCAGGCTTAGTAAACTGGTTTTCAACTGCATACCCATAAAGTTGCTGTGACACAAAGATAGTATTTCAGAGCTCCACCAACAGCAGCATACACAGGCATCTCTTTTCCTCACCACGATGCATTATACAACTTGTGATGGAGACTACTGTCTTATTAGTCATGCCCCTTGCACTGTTTAATTAGCATTGATCTTATCATGAATGTAGGTTAGTGCTGTAGGGCTTAGACAAACCCACAATATAGACCAAGTCAATAGTGTTGACACGTCTTACTCAACTAGTAACCTAATTTCCCTACTGTACCATTACGTGTGAGAGACAGTCTACCAAATCACTGCTTACAAAATGACAGCTCATTCACGCCTCCCATGCCAATTGATTGGTGTCAGTGGTCGGTCCGCCATTGGGTTACACTCTGCTATGGAGGCGCGAGTCAAGTCATGTCAAGTCACCTTTATTTATATAGCGCTTTATACAATACAGATTGTGTCAAAGCAGCTTTACACTGTTAAACAGGAAAAACGTGTGCTGATAATACAAGAGGACAATAGAAAACAGTCAGTTTATCAGTTAAAGTAATTGTTGATTCAGTGATGTCATCGTCCAGCTCAGTTCAGTTCTCTTCCAATAGTGTCTGTGCAGTCAAGTCAACAGTGTTGTCAGAAATTGTGTCCCCAACTAAGCAACCCAAAGGCGACAGTGGCAAGGAACCAAAACTCCATCGGTGACAGAAATGAAGAAAAAAAGCCTTGGGAGAAACCAGGCTAAGTCAGGGGGCCAGTGGGGAGCGGGCAGACGCAGGGGGCTTCATCAATAAATTCAATTTCTCCTTTCTGCAAACTCTGCGCAGCTGTCAGAAAGCAATTAAGTTGAGTAGTGTTCACTTTATCGAGAACTGTCAATCTCTCCAACCTAATTAACTTTCACATGCCAGAGAAAAGATGTGGCCTTCATGTGTAAATAAAAGTCCTACCGACAGTCAACAAGATGTGAAGGTGGAGGGAACATGACAATGGGGCGAATTTGTTTTTGTACAGCTGCATAGTCGATTCTGCTTCGCTTTGACTTTTGCTGAGTGCACATGAAGAAAAGATGTTGTTTCTCCAAAAATTCTTCTAGTTAGCATGAGGCTGTTAGCTCTTGTTGGTAGGATGGTGTAACCATCTGGTTCAAAAAGCATCTTCACTTATAGGCATTTAACAGTTGCTGTGAATTATTATGAAATATATTGTATGTATAATTTTTTTAACCATTGCTGTTTTTAGTTATGCACTATGTGCTCTGAACAGCATACTGACTTACACAATTACCCCAATTAAATTTCCTAATGGCTAATTGAAAACATAAATTTCAGTAAAAAATTCATTGTTTACTAAAAAATTAAATTCCTACTTTTTTTTTTTCGCTCTTAAAGATGATGTCACAGCTTAGGATAGTTGCTGCTAGTGTCTCTGCCAATCATGTTTTTTTGTGATTATCATCTTCAGGATCATTAGAATGCTGTAGCATTTTTGGTTGTTATTTTTTTTAGCTAGACAGCTAATTAGTTTCAATCGGCTTGAGGTAATCAAAGGCAGTAAGCTCAATGATTAGCTTGCAAGCTGGCTGAAAAACAAGCAAAATGTTTAATTTGACCATTTTAGCTTCCTTTATTTAATATGTTATGGGACAATTTGCAAACTAATAGCTTTCTCCAGGTGTTATAGACCTTCTTGTGTATCGATAATGGTACACTGTAAAAGTCTGTTACTTTATAACAGCACAGACCTTTAGTCTTTCATCATTAACAGTGAAAGAGTGTGTATGCAGAAAGCTGTAGACATATTGCTTCTGTATTTGGAAACCAGTGGCTGAACGACTGCCATAATAGTTTGTGCATCTGATGAGATGATGAGCTTGCTCTTTTCAGCGTAGTTTGCTCACAGCGGTAGTCATACTAAATCACACTTTGGTCCTGGAAGATGGCAGACTGTCCTGATCAATGGTGAAACTAGAGCTGTGCCACAGACTAAGCGGGTGCAACGTCAAGGCTGGTTTGCTAAAGCTGAGCAAACAAGAGAGATCATTTAAGCTCAGTTCTAACATTTGATATATTTTGAGGCCATTCGGACGATCTCTAATGGCAACAACACTTTGACCCCTTAGCAGTTGCCCGTAATCAAATTCTGCCTTTTTATGTGTGTTTACCTGATTTTTTCTTTTTCTCTTTATCTCCGTCTTCTTCAGACATCCCGCTGACTGTTTAGCTTTGCACCCTTATATACCTCCTTTCATTCATTTTGCTGCTTCTCAAAACCAGCTGGTGTCGTTTTTCATGGATAGTTTGAGTAAGCAAAAAGACACAGGAAAAGTTAATCTAAAAATGCTAATTCTCATCTCTTTACAAATCTGTATGCAGTGGCTATCAAGCTCCAGAAGTCAAGTCAAATCACCTTTATTTATATAGCACTTTATACTATACAGTCATGGACCACAGTGGAAAAAAGCATCATGAATGTAGTACATGACTATATTTTAAGTCTTCAAAAGCCACACAATAGGCTTGTGTGAGAAACCAGTCAAAATTTAATGCATTATTCACTTACTGTATAAGCACTTGAAGTTTGCAGCTAATAATGGGGTGTAATGGTGTGTCATGTTCAGTTGAAATTTAGTGCAGTAGTCATGTGGACAATTTTTTTTATAATGCTTTTATGGTGTTTTTTTATGAAGCTTGACATCTCCAGGTCACTGTGAACTGTTGCTGTAAGGTAATATTCAAAATAATCTACTCTTGTGTTCCACAGAAAAAAAAGCACACACTTTTTTTTTTTTGTGATGAGCTATTCCTTTAAACTGACAGAGTGTGTAAAACTGTGCTTATCTCAAGCTGTGCATTTTTTAAGTCTGAGAGCATAACGAGGATAAACTGAGCTGTGTGCCCATCTCTGTGTCATCCTGGTCTT